GTTGAGAGAGGAACAGTAGACAACTTTTGTTCCCCCCACTGCTTGGGTGTGTGTGGAACCTGATAGGGACCTGCAGGTCTCTTGGGAGACTGGAACCTGGATCTAATGTAGCTGGCTTCCAAAGCCTTGGTGTGTAGGCAGTGGCTGGTGGGGTGCCGCACTGCAAGGAAGGCAGAGATAGAAGGCGAAATAGACTTGGTGGAGCTTCCTATAGTAAGATGCCAAGCAAAGTTTGAAAGAGAACTACACTGCAAGACCCGATTCTACAGAAGTTGATCAAACCTTGTTTGCAGTCCATTACAATCTCATAACATTTTGCACCTTTAGAGTGGCATATTGGATTATTTCAAGCAACCCACTATCATTTTCAACATACCAGTGGTTGTTGAGGAGCCAGTTGCATTTGTTTTGAACACAGTAGCTCCAAAATGTCACTTTTTTCAAATGCAGTGCTTTCTTATCTTGTAACATATCGATTAAAGGAGGTTTTTCAATAGCAAGATAGGAAATGTGGACACATCTTTCCTGAGAAAGAACATTCACTAATGCCAGGCATTTGAGTGTGTGAAAGTGTTTTACAGTCAAATTTACTGTCACTGCATTTCAGCTGGCATCGCAAAGTATGCACTACTGAGTTGAGTGACATCTGCAGTTCCATTAAAAATAAGAAACCAGGCTAATTATCTAAGAAGTTTAGTCTGAAACTAACACAGTCTGTAGGATATACAGTCAATATACAATGTACCCACAGTGTTGAAAAATTGAGTGTTTTTTGTGTGACATATTAGGACTGATAGCATACTGTTTGAGATGAAATTTTATGTTAACTGGCTTGGGAACAACTTTTCAATTGTTACTAAGCATTAAATGTTTTTGCCACTCCATGACAAAAAAAAAACTGTTCCCCAAAATTAAAGAAGCCATCAAATAATTTTACAGCCTTTTGTTTTTAGCACACTCTGCCTGTCTTTTCCCATGGCTTAAGACCTTAAATGTCTTTTCCCAGAGATATTCAGTTAAAAGAATATTAAACAGCAAACCTTAGCATTTGTAAAGCTATAAAAAGAAAATCTCCTTAAAAGAATTTACAGATTAACCTCTTTTGCAACAAAAGGTATATATTGCTTGACAGTCCACTAGGTGGATGACGTTTTCATAAGATTTTCATTCACTCGGAGGATCTACAGCTTGATCAAAAAATGGATGTTAGCAATAAGATGATAAATCCTTGCTTATCACTAGCATCTTTGATACTCCCGTCTCATTTTAGGCATGGTAGCTGGAAATCTTTTATGAATTTGGGGCAATTCTACATTTGCAGATGGAATTGACTGCAATAACCATCCTAGCAGACAACGGGCAAAAGGCAGGTCAGCAGTTCATCGAAGGGCCACACAGAGACAAACAACCACACACAATCACTTTCACTGCTAGGGGAGATTTAGTGTGTCCAATTAACCTAACATGCAAGCCGGAGTACCCGGAGAGAGCCCACATTTTTTAAAGTCAGCTTTCAAATCAGAATTTATACATTATTTTCATATTTCATAGATGTTTTGTTTTTTTGCATGAGTAAAAACACTATTATAGATTTAAAGATGGAAGACCATTCACGGTAAAATTACAAGGTCTTGTGGAGGACTGTGAACTATGAGTGCCCTTTTAGCTGATTTAATGTATACTCTTCCATTTAGGTCACAAGCTCTTGTTTTCCTCCTGTTGTTGTTGCTTTGGCTTCCAGTCCTTTTGTCATCAGAATTCGTTTAGTATGCCTGGTATGCCCGGAAAATGGAGATGATACCGATTCCTAACAAGGACAGCAGTTGGGTTGCACACAGAGAAACCTAGGGAGGTAGACTACACTAAAAAGCTACAAGCTGGGAAATGTTGAATACTGCCAAAAAAGTTCACACAACCTTTCCAAAAGTTGTCCACAGCAGCACGAGTTGTTTTTCGTTTTCGAAGATTAAGTATCATACTTACTCTGTGGTTGCTCATCAAAGCAGATTAGATGTTTGGATTTTAATTCTCAACACAATATGAAATAAAAATCACATTTATCTTATCATTTGATACATAAACTTAAGTACAACTATGGGTAATTTAGAGTCTTCAATTAACTTAACATGCATGTTTTTGGAACAGTGGGAGGAAGCCGGAGTACTTTTTTCCCATACAGACACAGGAAGAACATGCAAACTCCATTCCATTCTTTTTTCCTTAGAGCAGCCATGTAGTACTCAGGCACAACACCTCTTGCCAATGTGACTAAGAAAGACAATCCTCTTAGCATCGAGCCTGTTTTCTTTCTAGGGCACTGAGTCTGTGCAGAACTGTCAGTTCGTCTGAGCTGTCGGAAACCCTTTCTCTGTTCTGTTTCTTTGTCTTGCTAAATGGTAGGGTCTCACTTGAAAGGCAGCCCCCTTCTTTCCTCTTTATGGCTCGATCTGGCAGCTGTGGGGTTAATGTTCAGCAGCAGCACTGACAGTGAGGCTGGGGTTGTAGGCGGAGGAAGAGGAGGAGGAGGGGAAGAGGAGAGCGGCAGAGATGGGGGCTGGTCCACAGCTGTTGTAGTAGGCAGGGTCTATTGGAGTAGGAAGCGAGCCTCACTTCTCCTGAAACAATGGGAGACATGGCAGTCTCTGCAGACTGCATAGACACACGGATACAATGCAAATGCCCAAGGACAGGCCTCCTGTAACTGCGGCATAGAGGAAACCTGCTTCCTCGCCTCTTTCATTCAGCCAAGGCACATTTTACCATGGAGAGAAAATTTTCTTCTACGTGGCCAGAACAACAGTAATGCAAGATTGTGGACTCTGCTCTCTTTCTTTTCCCCTCCTGGTATCATACATTCAGTTTTGATGGAATAAGATATCTGATGACTGACTGGATGACTGAAAAAGGCAGCAAGAGGAAGGTGAGCTGAAACAATTTTGGTAGTGCTTAGAGACCGGGGAGTTGTTAGTTGATGTGTTTAAGGTGATGTGGTATTTTCAGCTGACTTGGTGTTTTCAAGGGCCTATAGCTCTTGTGTTCTTAACAGGACACTAGTTCTGGGTCCGAATGAAGTACGTATTATGATTTTGTAGTTCTGTGTGGTTGTGTTATGGTGGCTTGTCATGATGTAAAAACTCATAGAGCAGCTGTGATTGACAGTCAAGAGGTTAGTATTGATATCTATATGTTGGCCCTTTTAATAGCAGCAAGCTATTCTCTGTTATTTTAGCTGAAACCAACACAGAAGCATGTCAGACTGTTTTGGTTTAAGCTAACAAGGTGTCATAAATCTCCTGAATGGCTGGCAGAAGGCATAGACTGAATGTTGTTTGTGGTTTAATATGTGATATCAGAAATGGAGGTCCCATGTTTTGTTTTTTTTCTAAATGATGGCTGCGTGCTTTTTTTTTATTGCTTTCAGACATATGTGGTGAACATCCCGTCTTTTAGGCTCATCTGGGGAAAGGATCCCAATTCGTCTTACTCCATCCCCCACCCCCTCCCCCACTTTCTCTCTACCACCTCTCCTCTCCTTATCACACATATTACTTGTTTATAATTTGTCTTCATGGTTCATGTTGCCAAACATCAAACAGGAAGCAACATTGAGGGAGCCTGCAGGTCTGATTCTGCCTCACCCACATCACTCATCTTCTTTGATATTTATCTACATCTGCATTAATGGCACAATTTGTAATTTATGTCTGCAAATAGAATAGAACTTGGGCTGTTTTTTTGGGGGGTGGGAGGGATGCATTCAGTTTCCATCTTATTTATTCCCACCGTGTGAGGATTTAGATTTTCGTCACATTCTTTACGTCTTACCTTTATTTTCTTTGGTTACATAGAAAGTATTTCAGTCAGTGCCTTTGCAGATTGGCAGATGGAGTGGGAGATGTTTGATATACCCTCAGATGCTGCCTTTGCCAAATCCCCAATTTGAGTTTTGTGCATTTCTTCACTCTGCGACTGCTGAGTGATGCCTTTGATTTATTTTTAATTTCATGCCCTCATTTCACTAATCTACTCATCATCTTAAACTATCCCAAAAACAGCTTTTGTAAGAATTTTTTTATTTACTTAATATTTCAATGTTTCATTATTTTTTACAAAATCAGTTACGTTCTCTGATGATAGATTATTAGGATTTTCAGTCACGACATTTACTTTTAAGCTTCGGGATCTGCTGTCTGTGTCTGCTGGCTTCCTGACACGGTTCACAGATCATGCTTTTTGTTTCCAAGGACCAGGTGTAGAGGGCATGGCACAGCCACACCAGGTGATCCTGCTATTAAAACCCAGGTTTAGTGGGCAGATGCTTCACACCTCTAATCCCATTTCAGTTGGACTAGATCTGGTAGGGTCAGAGCCAGCTACTCCGCTTTAAAAGAAGAATCAGCATACGGACTGTCCCATTTCTATTTTGTATTCAGGGAATAAGTAAAACAGTTGATGGGGAGTCCCATATTTTGTTGAAATGTAAAGATTAAACCATTCTATGGCATTCAGTGTGCTGTCTTTGCATCCTGTGTTACCAGAAAGACTTAAATGGTCGTTCTTAAACTGATGAATTATTCATCGGTCTTTCTTTCATTACACTTTACAATGACTCAGAGATGAAAGGAAAGATGAGAGGAGAAGAGATTTAGGAGAGAGCAAAATAGAGGAGTGGGGGCATGCAGGATTTGCTGGGCTCATGTGTTCCAAGCACTGGTATCTCCCTGGGGGCTATGAAGCATATTCCCCTCCCCTCAGTTTCCTGTTCACTCAGGACAGAGGAAGGTTACAGCCTTAGTACAGCACAGCCCATCAGTGGTGGCACTGCCCTTAGACCACCTAACACAACCCCTCCCATATTCTTACCATTTAATGTGACACGCTCTCATTATACCCAGCCTTCTTGAGGTTTCTGTCTTATAATTGAAGATTCAAAGATGCAAGGAGTCTCCTCAGTAGGAGACGCTTGGAGCTCAAACTTTTTCTTTTTTTCTCTCCCTCAGCTCTGTGGTGTTGTTGATGGGGAACAGAGGTACCTGACGGGACTTCCTCTTTGAGAATCCTAACAAGAGCTCAACCCACAGGTACGTGTTTTTATGATTTAACAGTTTAAAACACATATATTGAAGTTTTAATTGTATAAATCATCTCAAATCCTCACACATGGGAACACGATACTCTGATCAGTCATAACATTGTTAATGTGTGCTCTTTTCATTCTGCCTAAAGAGCTCTGATCAGTAGAAGTCTAATAAAAACATCCAAAGATATCCAAGGAACACCTTCTACCATGACTTTAGCAAAGGTTATTTTTGGTTGTGGGGAGGATTCCACCAGATGGCTATTTGCAGATTTGGAATTTAAAGGAAGACCATGGGCTTTTTGATGTGCTTTTTAAGCATTTCCTAAGCTTTGGCTGGGCTCAGTGCTGTTCTTCAGTGAAAAGCTGCTCAATGGGAAGGTGATTTTGCCCTAATTGTAAGAGCATTTGGTTTTCAAAAATGTATTGGTAGGTGTGGGAATGAAATTCATGTGAAATCCTAGGATGCAGAATTCCAGATTCCAGAACAACTTTGTATTGGATCATTATGAGACATGTTACTCACATAACTATAAGTTTTTACTTTTAGAAAGACTATCAGCGTATTTGTGCATTTTTACCTTTAAAATAATTAACAAGATTTGTAATCTGACAAAAAAGATCATCCAAAAAGATAATCCGATAAATATAATTGTTTCAGCTTCACCTTTTCACATGTACAGTGGCAATTCCTCTCAACTCTCTTGAACTGAAAAGTTGAAACAAAAGATATTTGACATTTTTAGCTTGGTTTTGTTTTATTTTACTTAGGCCTGTGTTAAGCTTTTTTTAAGTTTATGACTGAAGTGAAACTGCTATACAATATTTTCTGCTGCCCTATTAAGAGCTAAAGCAAAAAGTTGTGAGGCCACTATTTAGTTTAATATATTGTGTTTACTTCACATCAGATGCCATATAATAAAAAATATAAATAAAGATTCTCTGTCTTCATTGGTTATATGCATGCATACAGAGTTAAACCCATCTTAAGAGCAAATGCTGCTGGGTCATTTGTATAAAGGACACTAAGGCTCTTCATCTTACAGTAGAGAACAGGTTAAGCTTTCCTTTGGTGTTGAATTGCAAAGTATTTGTGTGCTAAAGAATACAACCCTGTACACCCAGCTCACATTCTTCATTCACAGGTTTGAATCATTATATGAGAGAGAAAAGCACCACGTGCTAACTTGGCTCTAAGGCTGACACATGATTCTTTCTGTTTTGTTCATTTATTGGAACCTTAAACTGTGAACTTGCACCTTGCTCCATTTAATTTCTATCTTGCCATGTCACTTTTCCAGGCTGTGATTTAGAGAAGGCTGCATTTAAAAATACAAAACTAAAGGTTTTGTGCTAGCTTTGATCTTCCTACCTATGTGTGTGTATTTTATGTTTCTCTTTTTCATTAAGACTATATATTTTTATTTTTGTAGTTGACAAAGGTCAATGAAATAAAAATACTTTGGATAAACCCAGGATTTTCCATGGCAACACTTGACAGTGAGGCATCAGACAAACAAATGTGTAATTTCGTGAACGCATTAAGGGAGTACATCCCTACACCATCTAGTCCAGACCAATAACAGTATAAAGGGAGTTAAAGAGCATTGATTATAAGCTGTATCAGAAGGAGATTGACTCTAGCTTAAGGCAAAGAGCAGTCACCTAAATGGCAAACTGTTAAGGTGTACCTAGCCTTTTCCCAAATGATAGCTGGGAGCCCCCTGCTAAACTACTTGGAAGAAACATAGCAAATAATCGCACATAATTTGTGCCAATGCCTCACTATGGTCTAGTCTTATAGTAGATTAGAAATAGTTTTAATTTTACATTGTCAGCGAGCATCTGAGTTCAGTTTCAGGCCAGTCAGTGGCTTCGAAAAAAGACAGTTATCTTACTTTAGAAAGCAGCCAGTACCACTTTGATGCTTTCTTTTTCTTTATTCTGTTACCCTGCTTGCTGTTTCCAGACTACCCTGTTGGGGATAAGCGGTATAGAAAATGGATAGGTGGATGTTTCTCAAACAAATTATTGTGATGTTTCTTTGCTTGGCATATTGGTAACAGAATATCTTTTGGTTTTCAGTTGTTACTAGACAAAACAGGATCATTCTTTCAAAGTGCACTAGACATTTGCAAATGTTTGTTTAACTTAAAAGATCTATGAGTCAGCAAAGGGGATAAATGATTAGAGATATCAAATGCTAGCCAGAGCCATCACACTACAGCCTCTCAGTCCAAATGAGGAAAATGAATTCTTCCAACACTTAAATGAAAAAAGAAGACAATCAAGAATGTAAAGATAACAGGATATTAAAAAGGAATAAAAGTTTTGAGAATATCATTTAAAAATCCTACTCTTTCAGCTGTTTCGAACAGCAGCTATTAACAGTTGCTCTCTCCCTTTCTGCTCTTTTAGCTGACTTTTTTGTCCCATTTATTGTTTACAATCAGTGGTCCTGTGATGGACTGGCGAACCATCCAGGGTGTACTTGCCCATTGACTACTGGGATAGGCTCAAGTCCCCTCGCGACCCCATTAAGGAATAAGCGGTTACAATAATGGATGGATTGATGGATGTTTAAAATCACAGTTTTTTTCCCAAGCAACTGACTGTGCTAACCTTAGCCAACAATGTAATAATTTAATTTGATAACTTTTATTTAATGTCTTTTGTCTGTTAGTTATTCTTTGGACAGTTTTTCCCGACTGTGTCTCCATCTGTGCTCAATACTTTGGCATTATTGTTTACACTATCAGCTGGTGTCGCTACAATTGGCCAAGCTGATACGGGAGAGGCCTGAAATCCCTGAGCTGAGGAGGGTGTAGAAGGGATGTTAAAAGCTAGACATTAACACAGGGAGAAAAAGAAGATATATAAATATAATATCCCTTCCATCACCATGGGGAATGTGGAGTCACTAGCTAACAAGATGGATGAGCTGGCGGGCCTGGTCAGGACTCGGTGGGTGTATCGTGAGAGCAGCTTGATGTGTTTCAGTGAGATGTGGCTCCACAAGGACATCCAAACAACTGTGGACGACTTTCAGACCGTTTGGACGCACAGGACTCACTGTGAGAGTGGCAAAAGGAAAGGTTGAGGGGTTTCTATTCCTATTAACAACAAGTGGTTTCATCCTGGACCTGTTACTGTAAAGGACTATGGGTGCAGCTTAGGCATTGAGGCTGTTTATATTCCACCTTCTGCTAATGTTGCATTTTCGAAAGACCCTACCTACACCGTCTTAAGGAGACTGCAGTTACTGCCCCTTGATACATTCATCCATATCTAGGGACTTAAATCATGTCACTCTGGCTGCAACAGTGGCGAGCTTCGAGTGCTTTGTGGACTGTCCCACCATCGAAAATAAGACACTAGACGTCCTATATGCCAACGTCAAGGAGGCTCGCAGCTCCCCTGCCCTTCCTCCACTTGGAATATCAGACCCAAACATTATCCACCACCGGCCCCTGTAGAAGCCTCTAATCCAGCGGCTTCTGGTGACCACCAGGATTGTGAGGAGATGTTCCCAGGAGATCATTTTTGGGATTTTGCATGTCTGCTTCGAACACACTGGGAGATGGTCTGAAATTATCACTGTGAGAACCATGAGGATTTCATGTATTGCATAACAGAGTACATAAACTTCTATGTGGACTGTGTTTTTCATACAGCGACTGTACGCTGTTTCCACAACAAGGTGTGAGTCACCAGAGGTATCAAAATCTTACTGAACGGGAAGAAGAGGGCCTTTAGAGAAGGGGATAAAGAGCAGATGAGATGGGTTCAGAGGAAACTAAAGGAGAAGATCTGACTGGGTAAAAACAGGTATAGGAGGAAGCTGGAGCACAAACTCCAGCAGAGCAACTTGAAAGGCCATGCCGAGCGGCATGAGGACTATCACTTGCTACAAACAGTCTGGGAGCCAGACAGCAGAGGGTGGTGCTGAAAGAGCCAATGAGCTGAATCTGTTTTTTCAATAGATTTGACCGGGGCGCTCCAGATCACCCTTCTCCCAGCTTTTCCACAACTTTTCACCTTTAAACCCCCATCCGCACTGTTCCCCCTCTCCATCAATGCCTTGCTTCCCCCCCATCAACACACGTGGCACACCGACCTTCGAGGTAGAGCAGTCGTTCAGACTCCTGATGGTGCCAGTCCAGTAGTTCTCAAAAACCTGTGCAACCAAGCTGAGTGTAGGCCATGAGTCTGGAGAGAGTCCCTTGTGCAGTGGCAGACATCCTGCCTGGTACATGTACCAAAAAAGATCTGTACCAGCACCTTCAATGACTTCAAACCAGTGGCGCTGGCATTCCACCTGATGGAGTCCTGTCAATTATCTGTGTCACCAGGACAGCTAAACACTGGACCTTCTTCAGTTTGCCTACCAGTCATCGTCCTACTGCCGTGTAAGAATCCAGTTTTTTTTTTTTAACTTCACCTGCACATTCACCACCATCCAGCCTGCCCTGCTGGGGAGTGTGCTAATGGAGATGCAGGTAGAATCTTAGGTTTCCAGGATTACAGGCTATCTGACAGGTCAACAGGATGCAGATTGCTGGACTCTAGGTCTGATACTGTGGTCAACAGCACATGGGCCCCCAGGGAACTGTTCTTTCCTCTTTTCTGTTCACCCTGGACACCTCGCGGTCTGCCGCTGGGTGCTGATTGGAGTCATATGATTACATGGTAACAATTCCCTGAGCTTCTGAGGCCTCGGTCAGTCAGCGTAACATCATTCTGAGGATATTCTCTTGGTCGGTAGTAGCCAGTGCTATCACCAACACCCAGAAGATTGAATATGCTCATCCGGAGGGCTGGCTCCAGCTGTCCGAGAGCAGGATGCTGCGTAAACCCAGAGTTTTATGAATAAATTACAGTCAACCAACACCTTCAACAACCCCCCCCAATGTCAGACAGAATAACAGAAGAAGTCCTTCCTGTGGCCGTCAGACTGATAAAAATTCATCTACCTCAGGTACCGAGAGAGACGGTGCATCCCGAGGCCAAAATATTCCTATTAATATCCATTATCCAAAATTACATCTTTGTACGCATTGTATTTTATTGAGGCTGCACTGCACACAACACATACCTACAAAGAGCAATTCTGGCAATTTGGTAATTGTGTTTGGTTTAGTTACATTATTTAAGATAGCTTTATTTTATTTCTAATTTATAACTTCACATTTTTGTATTGTAATTTGCAACCCTTGCACAGCAGTTTCCTCCAGGATAAATAAAAATTCTGGAATCTAGAAATACCCTTCAGATTAGTCTCAATGTGATGTATATAAGAACTGAGAACTGTTTCTTTTTGTTCAGTTTAAAAAAAAATCTAAATAACATTGGGTAGTGAAGTGATAAAGCAGCATGTCTCAAATGTGTGAGATTGCTAGATTTAATTGATTATTATGATCCATTGTTTATTATTTACTTAAAATTAATGAGTGCTGAAATGGGTCTCAGTGAACTTTTTTTAATACAGTAAACTACGCATTTCTTTTTATTCATTTCTGTTATTTTCTGAAGTTGATATGGGAAAAACAAGGATCAACATTAACAGGCAGAATAGTTTGGTATTAAAGAATTGTCAAGTATTGTTTTGTATTTTACAGAACCTAAGTATAGTTTTAGAAGTTCTTGAGAAAATGTTGTAATTACTGAATTATTTATTATTTTACAATCAAAGAGATTTTCTTTTAAAAAGATTTCAATATTTGTTTTTGATATTATGAGCCCCAAAAGAACCCACTGCAGCACAGCAATTTTTTTGGATTCTCAGTTTTGTCTTTTGGTTCACTTACTAATTTTGGTGTGAATATTCTTGCAAAAATATTGTCAAAAAATATTGTCACATTGTTTCTGCAGCAGGGCGAAAAGACTTACATTTGAAAGGGGAAAGGCTAGTGATTATACGCACTCAGTTTGATTCTTGCAGCCAATGTCAAACACTTGGGGAATATCTGCTTCCGTTCCTGGAGGGGCTTCATTGATCAGATTTCCATTATAGATGTGGATTTGGGTGTGTTTAGTCAGTTAGATGTGGGACAAACCGTAGTTCAGTTTAATGCATTTACGGTGTTTAGTTGATCTGCAACCATAGACACATCTTGTAAGTTGAAACTCTAATATGCCAGTTGGCATTCTCAGAATTTGCCTTCTCAGATCATTTTTAATTTTACATTAAAACGTATGTAAACTAGTTTTCTTTCTGTTAATATAACTATCAAATCAGCTTTTAGAATTTGAGCAATGTCCTATATATATATATATATATATATATATATATATACACTTGACTTCATATTAATTTAATCAGCAATTTAATCAGCAAAATCAGCAAATGTAGATATTTGTCCAAGTTGTACTAATAAAAACTCTAATATGTTTGCAGAAACAAAGAGTCTAGAAAACTGCTTACAAAGACCTTTTAGAATTTAGAAGTTAAAACCATAGCTTTTACATTTTTTTTTTGTTGATTACTTTATTTATTTGCTGCGGGTATTTAGAGGAGCCAGTTTATCCAGTTTTAGACGGTTTTAATTAATTAATTGTTTTTAAATTTAGCTAAAACTGAAATGTTTCAGTATTTAAACATTTTAATTAAAATCTGCTGTGTTCTAAGTCATTTAAACTTAAAAAGGTAGTCTTAATGCTTCTTCTTAAAATCTTCTTAATGCTTCAGATTAGGTGATGTTTCATTTATCAATGAGTGTGCTGACAGTTAGTCTCATCCTCTGTGTTGCAGATTAGTAAAATGTCTGATGAGACAGAACAGAGAATGTGTGATGAGGATTTTGGATCAGATGAAGAAGGCGAGGAAGCAGACGTGGAGTCTTACCTGGAAGAAAACAGCAGTGAGCTCATGGACAGACTGAGAGAACTGGAGGTAAGAAGGTTTTAATTAAAATTGGATTTTGGCAAACTGACAGAAACCTTCTGCCAAAAATAATTAGTAGAATAGTAATATAAAAAGAAAAGAACCCCCTCACTCAAATATATTAACTAAGTTGATTAATTATATTATATGATGATGAAATAATAATAAAGAATAAATTATTGATTAGTAAATACAAATTTAGGGAAATATTTAATAAGTTAATCATTTTCTTGTAGTAACTGGTTGTTTAATGAAGTCTATCCATTTTCCTCATGTCACCAGTTCAGTTTAGTTACATTTATGAATTGCCAAATCATAACAAATGTCAATTGTAGGTACCACAAAGATACAATCCACTTAATCTCTGTTAGTAATGTATTCACTGGATACTTTTGAAAGGCTTGTGGTATTTATTTATTTATTTGATTTTTTTTGGCTCTAGTGGCCTTTAATGACAGTAGCTTGACAGGAAAGGGGGCAGAGATAGAGAGGGGGAGACCTGCGGGAAAGGGCCATCGGCTAGATTCGAACCCAGGCCACGCGCTTGCGAGCAGAGGCTCCGCATATGGTCCGCTGTACCCATTAGGCTACAGCTGCAGCCCAGGCTTGTGGTATTTAAATCATATTTAATATCTCAGCCTTATGTTAAATCCGCCGCATTTTCATTTAATATACTAAATATACTAAACAGTGACTCTGCCTCTGCTAGATAGCCTTGGTAAATAGTTATGTTTGCATATGGTTTTGGATAAAACCTGGATTTTATTTGACATAAGATTTCTTTTTTCTCAAAATTACCAGATATTCTGTTCCCCTCCACAGTGTTTTCATCTGTGGAGTTTGCTCACAAAGTCAAAGCAGTAGGCAAAATAAATCTGAATGCATCATACTACATGTACTTACTATACTTCATTTTGGTACATGGTGTACATCTGCACACTCTAAAATGCTGCCATATATATTGAGATGAGGTTTCTTGGTAACATATGGCTATTAAGCTATCATTACATATTAGAATATTGTTTTTTGAGTGAAATATATTTGAAGCCAAATTAATCAATTTCTAACTGTGCTTTAACTTGTGGTATGCAGGAGAATATATAAATAACTGCTGAGAGATTTAATCTTTTTTATGTTACATTGCAGGCAGAGAACTCTGCTCTGATGCTGGCAAATGAGAGTCAAAGAGAGGCTTATGAGAGATGCTTGGATGAGGTGAGCTTAAATTGAAATTTTAAAAATCTGCTCAGTGAACTTTGTGTACAAAAACTCATGTACATTTTCTTGTAAGGTGGCTAACCATGTGGTCCAAGCTCTGCTAAATCAGAAGGTAACTAATTAATTTGACTGGCTGTTCAGAGTTCTTCATCTTAACAGTATAGATTAAATTATATTCACCTTACTGTTTTTTTTTTTGTTGAGTAGGATCTGAGAGAGGAATGCATCAAGCTAAAGATGTTGGTGTTTGACCTGGAGAGACAGAACAGAGCTCTTTGTGAGCTTTTCCAGCAAAAGCTGCCAAACCATCCCACTACTCATTACCAGGTAACTCAATTCACAATCAAGTGTGCTGACTCCATTATGAAAACAGTGAAGAAGTACTTACAATATTTACATAGAAAGTGTTTGTACAATCACTTAAATATACATTATATTGCCAAAAGTATTCAGTCACCCATGCCACCATTAAATATTCCACAGTCACCTGTCAGTGATACTAAAACAAATGTTAAGCCATTGCAAATGGCGACAACCCAGCCACAAAGTTACCATGCGGGTCGAGGCAGGTGAGCGAATAATGGATAAGCAGTGGAAAATGGATGGATGGAAGGACAAATGTGGGAAAGGAAAAATAGACTGTGGTTCTGTAGTAAATTGTTCCTTTGTCAATTCAGTAGTGTTAAATTTTAGCGTCAACATGGCACTATTCTCATGTTTATTCACGAGAATGGAGCGCTCAGTTTATTTCAGAAAAAATGAGAAACATATATATATGTAGACTTTATCTTTTGCAATGCTGGTGAAACAGTAATGATTTTGGACATTTTACCTATGCTCTTCAATGTTCAAACAATTGACAGAGTAAAGCAGCTCCGCGTTGTCTGAGTATATAGTAGCCTGTAATGTTTACAGTGTCATCATAATTGTCTCATATTACAGATCCAGGCCGGACCCCTCCCAGACGACAGTGTACAGTTGAATAATGACTCGGCCAAACAAGTGGAGTCTGCACAGACTGAAGCACAAGCCACGGTGATTATCTCAAATCTTTACAAAACATCAAGATATAAACAGTAGGTTTATAACATAGGCTACGAATGTGACCACAATCAGTGTTTGGAGCTATTATGAGACCTTGCAGCTAACCTTTCTCCCAGTAATTTCCTGTGTATGTATACTCAAAGGTATTCAAAAACTGAACTGAACTGTTCTATTCTTCTTCAAGTGTCAGCTTTTAATAGTTTGCTGATATTGTTCTTTTACTTTCAAAAGGGAAATGGCTACCGCACGCAACATGCCTCCCCAGGCCCTCGCAGCCCTGCTGCATCAATGGAGGCCCTGTCTCCCTTTTTCAAAAAGAAAGCACACATCTTGGAGGTCCTGCGAAAATTGGAAGAGACTGACCCCTTGAAGTTCCATCCGTCTACTACAAGCTTGTCTTTCTGCGACTACAGCCAGGTCCTAATGTCAACAGAGGCTGTGTTGGCCACTGCTGACCCAGTCCAACCACAATGTAAATCCCACCACACGCACTGTCACTGCTCCTGTTCTAACAATGACTCACATCAGCATGTAAATGGTGATGGGGCAGTGAAGTGTGAAGGAGGAAATACCTGCTGTTTACACTGCAAAAGAAGCCCTGAAAGTCCTCTAAAGCCCTTTAACCACATCTGTAGTCCTTCAAAAGTCAACTCTGTCACCCAAAGCCATGTCTCTCCTAGAACTGCCAGCCAATGCCACAGTAAGACCAAAACAGTAGAGTCTGTAACCCCATCCAAACAATGCACCATGAATGAAGAGTTCCCGCAACCACTGGGCACCACTGCCCACTTGCCAGTGACAGATGTGATTCACCAGATGCTGGAGTTGGAGGCATCGGAGCAGGATAAGTCTGATGTTTCAGAGGATGCCAGTAATGTCTGTGGAACTTCCCACCTGCCCAGTTATGTGAAGGACAGCACACATATCCCCCACTGTAACATGGACACAAGTGAAGGTGGTCACAATGGCTTGGTTCTCTCCTCCAATACCACATTGAATGACCCTTCATCCATTCCGGAGAAAGACACAGAGAGTGAAGTGCCCTCTGTTAGAGCCGGTGCATCTGTCAGTCCAAGCCCATCCTGCCTCAGTGATGTCAAATCCACAGCCATACAGTCCCCGTCCAAATTGCTTAAGCTCTTGAAGATTCCGTCAGTAGGGGAGAGGTCTCAGCCCTCTACCTCAGCTGTTCGTCTTAGCCCACAGCTCACCCGCAACTCCAGGATCCCCTGTCGTACTAATAACTACGAAGTGTACCACTCTCCTGTTCCTACTCGCAGAGCTACCACCACAGAGAGATGCAGACAGCCCCCTCCCCCACCATCAAGGTCGGAGTCCTATCCTGCCACACACTCAGCGCCAACATCCCCTCCACAGTCTGAAGACATTTGTTCCTCACAGTCTAAGGAAATCAACTACAGTAGCCTCTCTGCATCTAAAACTACTGCTATATCAAATGTTGGAGCTACTTCTACCGTGTCCTTGTGCACACCTATAATTTCTCAAAGGGTTCCCCATTATGAAAATGTATGTGATATATCTAACTCCAGAGAAGAGCAACCAAGTCAGGGTCTTGACAAAACAACTACACTTGCATCTCAGGCAAAGGCAAACGGTGAAAGGAAGCTTGTTAAATCCTTACCAGAAAGTGGGTTTAATCCTCTTAATCAGCAAAAGCAGTCTTCCTCATCAACTTCAGAGTCCACCTCAGATGATGAAGAGGATTCAGACAGTCCGGTGTGGGTTAATCAACACAGCTTACCCAATGCATCTGTCCTCAGCAAAGCTCAGAGCGGAACATGTACTTCACAAACCACAGAGAATCCAGAGCCAGACTGTAGGGAAGTCAGAGTGTCGAACTCTGAAGTCACCGTACCTCCACCTCCAGTCCGGAGGAGTGACTCCTCATCCATCCCTAAGAGGCCTACAGCTGGGGCATCAAGATCTCAAGCTGACTCCAGCCACCATGCTTTTAAAGACAGGCTTGCTGCACTGGGAAAGCTGCGGAGCTCTGAAGATTTACAAGTTGGTCTGAGGCCCACTGAGCCAGTGAATGACAGTGCCCATGGAGAAGATTGGAGCAAGACAGCAGAGAGGCCCATGGACATCCATAAAGAGGAGCAGAGGCCTTCAAAATACACCGACTCTTTGGATGGTAAACCTAAAGGTAGCAGTGTTGGTATGAAGTATCCTGGATCATCTCAGCTGTATGAGCAGGCAGGCAAATCTCAGTCATTGGGTCCAACTGTGGTTAAACAAGAATTATGTGTAACAAAACCAGAGGGCTCCAAAAGTAAAACGGGCCTACTCTCTCCCAACACAGATGCTTCCCACGTGCTAAGAAACAACATTAAGTGCCCAGGCTCTCTGAATCTGTCTAATAATGTTAAAGGTGGCCTTGGACCTTACAGTAGCAGCAGCCCCAACAAAATCCCCCCAAAGTCGCCATCTAAACCTTGCCAAGGTCCTTCAATCCACAGAGGGGCCAAGCCTTCAGATGCACCACGTTATTCATCCAAATCAGAGGAAAGAACCAAGATCAGCGGGAAAGGGAAAAAAAATCCAATGTATGGAGACAGCCTGCCACCTCCTCCACCGAGGCCTCCTACATCTGAGGTGGAAAAGCCATTACAGCCAGTCCCCAGTCCACAATCTGCCATTGAGCAGAAAGTAATGAAGGGTATTGAAGAGAACATGCTAAAGCTTCAGGAGCAAGACAGAGGAGGCCAGGGAACTGAGATCAAGCAGAAAGCCTCCAATGGTATTGCTAGCTGGTTCGGCCTGAAGAAGAGTAAACTGCCTGCACTGAGCCGCAAGACTGATGCCATCAAAGCAAAGGACGAGAAGAAGGAATGGAAGATAAACATTCCATCGGTAGGAAGGGACTCTGTAAAAATGGCCTCCAGGTGTAAGGAGGGAGTGGAAGGTCTGAATATCTCAACGCTGATGGAGAAGGCCGAGGGGCTGCGGAGAGCCCTGGAGGAGGAGCGGGCCTATGTGGAGAGGTCAGGAAGGGGGCATTCTTGTGAGGTGGTGATGGACCAGACGCAAGGACAGTTGGCTGTTATGTACAGAGGAGCGCGCTCCGACAGCTTCATGCAACAGCTGCTAAACAGGTGACAACTCAAGGATGTCTATCTTATTTGCTTTCTTGTGAAGGTCAAATTAACTTTTTAGATGTAAACCGTTGGTAAGCTAATGCACAAGCAATCATTCTGTTTGGTCAAAATTGCACATATTACTGCAACACAAGAGCATTATGAACCTTTAAAGACTTTATGTAGTTAATGGAATTTTGTTATGCACTTCATGGGATGGTACATTCCATTTAGCTATAGGATGTGTTTGTTGCCTCTTCGACATGACAACAAATATATGTGTATAGCTGCACATTTTCTGGGCTCACAGAGAGATCTGTTTTTATGACAGTCGTGTCACATCCACAACTGTATAGGGATCAAATAGCCAAGAATGCCAAATTCCCTGTTACTTTAGCTAATGTTGAAAACATCTACTTTTGTCTTTTTGATTAAAAATTGTACCTACATTTTCAATAAAAAGTCAACTTATCAACTGTCAGACTGAATAAAGTAGACTGTTTTATTTATAAATTATGAATAGGCAGTTATGTTATAGAAAACTGCTGATAATGATAGATTATCATAAAATCATAAATGATAAATTATCAAAATTGCCCAAGTTCTAAGTTTATGCAGTATCCTACATTGTTCTTATTATGAGAATCTAAATTCCCTACAAGCTTTTTAGCTGAGTTAAAACCACCTCTGTCAGTCCTCAAAATATTAATGAAACCAGGAAGTGTAGCATCCCTTTGAACAATGCTAAATTAACTTAAAAGGAAAAAATCTGTGCACAGGTTTTGAGGTAAGATACACAACTTACGCTGTAACGTCATTTTTGAAGGGATCCCGTGTGTTTTACCCGCTAGCTGTTTCCCACCTTCATGCTAATCTAAAATAATCTGTTTTGGCAGTCGATTCATATTTGAATTCTGTTAATTTCTTATCACATTCTGAGTCTGAAAATGGGCATTAAATAGAATGCTAACGATAAGGATTTTAACTCAAGCTTTGTGTTTTGATAAATGTAGAGTGGATGGAAAGGAGATGATCAGTTTGCCACAGCGTCGCCTCTCATTTGACTGTAAGATCTCCAAGCCAGTGTTCACACAGCAGAACAACATCAGTCACACCACAAGCCATGAAAATATGGAAAAGGTAACTTTTCAGTTACTTAACTGAAACCTATACAATATGAAAACAAGCATTGTAAAGGGGAAATTAACGAGTTTAGGTTAAATGGTTGTTTAAGATTTGAATATTGTCTGACTGATATTTTCTACACATTATTTGTTTTTCTTTGTTCTTTCATGCAGGGATCAGATAAAATTGGAAAGATCACATCAGATGAAAACCTTTCAGATTCAGTTCACTTTGCAGGTAAAAAAAAGGTCTGCAGGGAGTTTCAGACGTACAATGGATTGTAATTGTATGAGGAAATGGGAGAAAAGTTGAGGAGATAAATTCTTGCATTTTTCATTGTTTTATTATGTCCAGAAAAATTAAGGGTGTTAATTTTATTTTAAGTGCTCATTTACAATGAAATTATGTATTTTACAAAATAATTCCTTTCCCCTCAGTTTAAGATTATTTAATCCTTCTTACATTTAATATTTATTATCATATCATATTATAAGGTTAACACAATGTTAAATGTAAAAAGGGTGAAAAGGATTAGTGTATTTCTGTCACTAAAAGGTTTTTATAAAAGGACATATTTTGCCCACTGAGGACAGATTGGCATTTACCTTATCAGAAAATGATAGACAATGGACAAACCAATTCACTTGTTTCATAAATGTTTTTTCCCACCTTTGCAGGCTCTGGAGCTTCCACATATACTCTGGACAGTGGCATCGGTACGTTCCCTCTCCCCGACGGCAGCAGCAGTGCAACAGGAAGAGGCCTGTCCAAAACAAGGCCAGGGTCTGAGCATCACTCTTCTGAATCCCCAGGAAGAGCCGGACGACGAGCTCGTACCTTGGACAGAGAACTGACGTCACAGGATGAGTGTTTTGTACAACACAAACAGTTGATCCCCACTATACAATATGGCTCTATCCTGGAGGGAAAAAGCTCCACCAGCATCACCCACAAAGGTGTTTAGAAACCAGCCCACTTATACGTAACGACTGGGAGAGATCAGAACATTAAAAACATAGTAATTTTGATGGTGTGGTACATACTTGTTTAATGATAAAGTTAAATATACCTGTAGGATGATAAATCTGAAATGATTCTCTATAAAATTAGCCACAGAATGTTTTTTCCCCCATCATATTCCTTTAAATGATGTTAACTTTCAAGATTTTTGGTTGCTTGAAAAGCCTTTTCTAAAAACATAAATGTTACTCTTATCTCTTTAGACAAAGAGGTCCATGGAGCGAACATGATTTCTCCTAGATCTAAGACTTGGACTTTCCCCAACTTGAAGACTCCTGCAGGACAAGCAGAGATGTACCTAGCAGTGGAAGAGGAAGAGGAGGAGGAAGTAACGTTTGGGTCACCATTCAGAGGGGTATGCACACACCTAAATCCAAGGGAGATTAAGATTTGTGTATGCAACTTTATTGTCTGAATCAGTTATGGACTTTCTGTTTTTTTTTTAATGGGTACAAACAGAGGGGGAGAAAAGAGGAAGATATATTATCAAATGTTTGTATCACTTGATTGTACTTTTAACAAATGTCAAGGATTCTTTTTTTGTTTAAGATTATTTCAAATACCTCTGCATCCCTTTAGAACATGAAGGCTGGTGGACCTTCTTCCAGCCGAGTCATTGACCCGGGAAGCCTTCCCGTCCCAGCTCAGTCTGGGATGAGCCGGAGGGGGAAAATGCGCACTCCCAGCGTTCCTGAGATGAGCCGGGATACAGGCGTGGAGCTGCTCAGAGAACGACCAGAGGAAGCTCTCTCCCCGAGCCGCCCTCAGGTCCTCGAGACCCCAGAGTCGCTGAGTGATTCGTTGTACGACAGTTTGTCATCTTGCGGCAGCCAAGGATGACGCCGCCCAGAAAGGGGAAGGACTGAGTGTACTTGAACTGACAACTTCTCCTTTGAAGAAAAGCAACGGCCCCCTGCTGATGTTGGAAAAGAATAATCTGGTTTCATTAGATGTTACAACTGGAATAGTGGATCTCTTTTCCTCAGGATTTCCAATAAACGTGACACCAAAAGCCACCTAAATAATATAGGTCGTTCTCTGTTTCAGTCCGTCTTAGCTGTGGTCACTTCTCTTCAATTCAAGTATACATGACTAAAAAAGTGCATGACCGAGATAATGTCCAGGACAAGAATTTTCAGTTCCACTAGTTTTCTTTCGTCATTCAGGTTGAATTATCTTTTGTTGTATGCATTACAGAAACAGTTAGTGCTTTATTACATACACTACTGTATCAATAACACCACTGGCAAAAATGATGGAATTGCATCTCTTGTGGGATGCTCAGTTAATTTTTCTTTCTTTCTTTCTTTTTAAAGAATCAGCTAATCACACATATGAAACTGAACTATTTCAGAGGTGGACATTCAAGCTTCACAAAGCATGTTTAAAGGAAAAAACAGATTCACCTTTTTCTTTTCAGAACAAAAAAAAACGAATCACTCATTCCTGAGGGAGCAACTATGTAATCCTAAACGTACACATTTTTTGCAGTTCCTCTAGCTTCTGTGACAGCTTTAATTGTTAGAGGCAGAACTTAATGAATGGGGAAAAAAATATTCAAAAATTAGACGATTAGATCCCCCGCACACACACATCATTTTCTGTTTCAATGTCCACTGAAACTTTTCAAGCAAGTTGCGATCCAGAATTTTTGCAGGCCATTGAGTTGATATTTCTTTCCTGTGGAACAGTTTGAATGCTCTTTACTCTGTGATAAGATGTTGAAAGATCCTGAAAAATGACTGCAAAACCAAATATACTTTTCACTAAAGTAATGAAAAAAGTCTAAAAAATGTCTTACTTTAGACTTTACTTTAGATGTAAGATCTCCAATCAATCCCAAATGATCAATGAGCACAGATTTTTTAAATATTTCTTTCAGGCAGCCGATATTATTTAACTAGACCTGCACCAAACAACAAAAGTTCAAGAGATTCATAGCTTGACACAACTAGCTGTTCATAACTGCTTCACCTAAAGTGGACTAAGATGTGCGCTTTTTTTATTTAGTCCAGGTGAAAACTCAAACGCCTTTTATACTATACCACTTTCACTCATATATCATATTTTAGTCTATGTAGTACTTTTTTTTCTTCACAGTCATAAATGTTTTGGCATGTAGCCCAGCGATCTAATTGGCAGACAACTGCTTCCACCACTGCCCACTGTAGCTGTTTTCTTCTGTTTTGGTGTTAATGATGATTCATGCTTGGTTCTCCTTTTTAGATCCACTTATTAAGGAAGGTCTCTGATCAGTTATTTGTTTTTTCTTTTACTGTACATTTAGCTGTTTTCAGACACATTGTTTTTCATTTTCTGTCCTGAAGCTTGATGTCTTCCTTGGTCTACTTGTCTACATTCATTTTACATCTCACTTAGTCTTTTTCAGACAAAGCAGTTGAAGCAGCCAATATCTTTCGCCACTCTTAGCGCTGACTTACCCGTTTCAAGGAAGTTTATTATCCTTTTGATTAGCTCCTTTTGATCAAAACTCTGTTTTTGGCACAATGTTTCATGCCAAGCAGACAAATCAACCATTTCATTTAATTGCAGCCTAATTTGCATTTAAAGATATAAAAGGTATTACTTAAAAAAAATACAGAGTAAGTCCATTTTGTTTCTTGAATTGTCTTTTTTTTCTTCAACTTGATCTGAAATTGTAATTTAATTATTTTATTTTTTTTAAAACCCAGACTGTTCAGCAGTTGAATGAAATTGTTTACTTATAACTGTTTTATTTATTTATTGTTTTTTGTTCTTTAATTCCTGAATGTTGGCAGGGGATGTGCAACCATTCAGTTAATCAAAACATTTCAACATATTCTTTCAAGGTAGTGGAATGGGAGGTGGGTGACATGAAACACCTACTTGAAAAAAATAAGTTACAATGTTATGTAAATGTAAAAATAATTTTCTTTCCCATGTTGATGTTTTTCAGTCAGAATGTTTGTCTCTAAATCATATTGCATTTTAAGGTAATATATACCAGCAATAATAACTTAGATAAAAGAAATCGCTACATTATTTCATGGATATTTGTATTATTTATTTATTTTTCAAATGTACATCATTTGCATTTTTTTTAATCTGTGAAAAATGCAGTCTTCTTGCATAGTATTATGTTCATATCTTGGTTCAACATTTTTGCCACTCGTTAACTAGCGTTTAGAGGTCATACATGCCTACTGCTGTTTTTAAACTTTTTGATTAAAATGTTTTCATTTACTTCTTAGTCCAATAAGTTTTTCATCAATATTTGTATGGATAACTGCAACCATATTAATCATGAAATATACATTGGAAGATCATTATGAATCCCACAGCCTCGAATGAACGTACTAGGATGGTGCAGGGTTCAGTGCCTCTTGCAACTATAAAACCTTCTTGTAGCAAGATTACCACCACAACTGAAACATAGTTACCCCCACAAATCATAAACTTTCACTGCTGACAAGGTGAAAGTCCTTGAGTCCTTGTCATTATTTGATGATTCACAGATATAAGGTTGCAAAAAAATTCCAGCAGATTCTAATTCATTCTTGCTGTGAAAAGTGTAAATACTACCCAGCTATCAAGGTTGTAATGGCATTTGGACTGCATTTTTGGGCACTTGACCATGATTTGATTGTTAGATTTTAATCTATTAATGTTGCTGTCACAATTCGCCAGAGCAATACAATAATTTGTGTGAATGAAAAGAATAGCTGCATATGGTGTATAGTGAAGATAAATAGACAAAGAAGAATGTGTTAATGACAGACACAAAAAAAAACAACTTATAGTTAAAAGCATAGGAAGAACGTAAATGTAAATCTCTTGAAACTCAGAGAAGTAATCCAAAAGCAGACTAGAACCGTCTGATTGCTGAGACAGCGAATAAAGCTTTGCCATTACTTCCTGTCAGTGAATGTGAAAATGTAGAGGTTTTATTCAATTTCATGAGGTATCAGGAGCTGTGGTTCAATGGGACTAAAAAAGTAGTAGTATATAAATACAAACAAGATGTGAAATACAAAATGTAAAATGAAAAAATAGTTCAACACACAAAACAATTTAACACATTTATTTGGGCAATGTATCAAATTATCAGGTCAAATTTTACATCAATAGAATAAATTCACAGTTTACTCTAAAGAAAAAAAAAATTACACAACTAATAAAAAATGGTTGGGTTAACATCACATCACTTGGCTAATCCAGATACAAGGGAAGTTTGAATAACCACCTTCTAAATCCAAAAAAAGCCGTCGAGCAAACTTTTCTATCTGAACAAGTTTAGTGTTGTACCTCAAAAATCATTTTTCACATGACTTAAAACTAACTGAGCAAACAAAACAGTGAGAGATAAATTTCTGAAAGGAGATATATATTGGCAAAATCATGGGCATTGAATTTTGTGACATTTTATGGCAGAAAACTAAAAATAAGCAAATCAGCAGTTTACATAAGATAAAACAATAATCAGTGTCAGAAGCTTACAAGAACCTTTAAATGAATCTCATCATCCTCTCATTTCATGGCACTAAATTACAGTTCAATTTAAATGTTTATTAAGAGCTGCTCTGCTACTAGGAGCCTTCATTGAGCAACACTCCCCTCCAGAGGCCAAGCAGAATAGCCATGGCGTTGGTGTCATGATAGAAATAAGAGTTTTGTACCATAATTTGCATTGAACCACTTGTTGGTTTCAAAAACAAGTTAAAGTAAATTTCACAACATAAGACCAGATGAACGTTAAAGTTAGAAATGAAGACAAGAAGTGAAAAGCATGAAGTGCATTGGAAACTGTGCCTTTTTTTTATTTATTCAAAAGCTTCTCACTTCTTTTCCTTCTTCTTGTCCTGCAAGCAAAAGAGTAAGGTATTTGACCATTTGTCATTCACAGAGAAAGCTCCAAACATGCAATTCATGAAAACAATAATTTTGATTTTTTTTTTAAAAACTCAAAAACAAAGGGTTTAGTAAAAGTTTGCTTTAGGCAGTAAAAGCTGTACCTTATCATTCATAGCAAGGATGATCATCAGTTTCCTGAAGATGGTGATGAAGTCAAGAAACAAGTCCACGCAATGCCTTAAAATAAAGAAAATTAAAATGGAGGCATGTAAATGTATACACGTGTATTTTATAGCCCCTAGGGACCCTGAAATATCCCTTGGCTATGCAACTCTAAAATTATTCAGCTGAGAAACTTTACATTATGCACTTTTATTCATTCCACCCAGCAAAAATATGTAGCATGATATTTGATCAGAAGACTGATTGACGTTTAAGTTTGCAAATGAATACAGATTCTTACCATATGTAGTCTTTGTCTCCGTTTTCTGCTTTTTCAATGATGAGCTGAGTGTCAAAGAGGACGAAGCCACACATAATGAACAGTCCAAGGTACATGTGTGCCTGTTGGGGGGGGGGAGAAGAAGAATTTATAATGCAGACCTACCGTGAAACAATTATACAAATTCCATATAAATTTTCTGGATTTTTCAACCATATCTTCTCTTAAAGTTGGATTCAGATCATCAACAAAGATAGAGCAGTGTAATCTTTTTTTCAGGCTTATTTCTGTTCTTTTTTAAGGACTGGATTGTTATAAGATACATTTTTTTCTCGTCCCTTTGGTTTAAATTCTGATTTTAATTTTCGTTTTCAATTTCACATTTTTAACTTATGGTTGGGAGTTTGGCGAAGCTCAGATAATAATCTTTTACCAGCAATACACAAGTTATTTTTCAGTGAAAATTAAAAAGGTGTTTCAGAATTTAGAAAACTAAAGAAATCAACTTGAAAGCAATATATTGAGAGATGCTACTGGTAATGACCCACTTAAACAGAATAAAGAACATTTACGTATAATTTTGTTGTTTTTTTTATATGAAAAGGCCAAAGGATCTTAGGTTCGGTCAACTTTTGCTACTGTTGCGGCTTTTTTTTTAAGCTAAAAAGAAATGTTAGCCAGTGCAAGCAGGTGGTTTACTACAGCTTCCAGATGAGACTGACCAGTTATTCCTGCACCTTGGAGGAGCAAGTTCTTTTTTTTTTTTTTTTACAGCTATCTCTTCAAACATGGATGCTCTAAGGCAGGGGTCCCCAGTCCCTGGTCTCTGGTCCAAATCCAGACCTTGAGAGGGTATTGTCAAGGCCACAAAGTATTTTCTAATTTATTGTTTAGGTGGATTTAGACTTTTTTCCTCCAGCCAGAAGCAATGTCTGACATTTGAGGCATGACGGACCAGCTATGCAGGTCAGGGAACCTTTAACAGGGGTTGTTGCAAGTTACAAACTTGGGCGCTAACTTACGCTAGCTGGCGGTATAATGACAAGATGGTTTCACATAGGGACACAGTGACTAAAAGCAGATGGCTGTATTAAAAATACCCAAAGTGGACCATGAAAATCACACATTTAGAGATGAAGGGACAGAAGCAGTGCGAACCATCGCCTCAAAGCAAGAGGGTTTTGGGTTCCAGTCTCTGGGGGAACCATTTCAGTGTGGAGTTTGCATGTTCTCCCTGTGTCTGCATGGATTCTCTCCACAGTCAAAAAACCTGCATGTTAGGTTCATCGGACATTCCAAATTGCCTTTAGGAGTGAGTGTGAGTGGTTGTTTGTCCTTGTGTGTGTCTGTTTGGCCCTGTGATGGACTGGCGATCCAGGGTGTACCCTGCCTCTCGCCCATTGACTACTGGGATAGGCTCCAGTCCCCCCGCGACCCCATTAGGGAATAAAAGGTTAAGAAAATTGATGGATGGATGAACAGAAGCATACACATTAATTTATCTCCATTATGTATCAATAATTGCCGATTTGCTAAAAAACAGTTTTCATTCAGTCTTCTCAAAACTTATTAATAACAAATTTCACTCACAACTGATCAATATGTATCTGCATACATGTTTAAGAATTGCTTTGATCCCATTCCAAAAATATTTGCAGGATAGTTTATAGCACTTTTTCCTACATTTTACTGGAGTTTTTAGTTGAACTGTTTGCACTTTAATTTTGGTTTATGTGCAATACATGTTGCAAAGATTGTGGCATAATTTCCTTCTTATTTTTTAGTTTTGTTTACTATTGAAACTTTAATTGTACTGCACTTTAATGATCAGCAAATTATTTAATGGACACGTAATAAAAAGCAATAATCAGTTGTTTAAAAAAAAACAATGTTGATGATGAAAATATTGGATCAAATATGAAAATATGTTTTGACGATTGATTAAAAATGTTCAGACCCCAGATTGTTTGGATGATGGTCATAATGGACCCTTTCCTATTTTAGTTGGAGACCACAGCCCTATTGGATGATCTTCCCCAACTCACCACTGCAGATTGGGCAGTTCTAGCTATTTTAGGACAGGTAGTATTCTGACATCAGTGCTTCCTCTAATGTTTGAGGACACACTGCATCAGATTTTTATAGTGTTGCACACTTCCTTTTTGATATCATTTTTGTGATTGATTTTTTTTAAAATATGTAATCAAGGGCATTTTAAAACAAAAACAAACAAACATTTTTCTCTCTTTCTATCTAGAGTGCCATTACTTGTATTTGCATCCCATGGCATACTGACTAAAATAGCTTCATGAACTACTTACAATTCCTAGGCACAAGTATTATTTTGGGGTGCATGTGGAACCATAACTCACAGCCTGTTTTCACACAAATCTAAAATTATTTTAGAGATGTTGAGAAACAAATGTCCAAAAACATTACCACACTTCATGTTCAGATTTTCAAACCTGAACTAAAATCTCCTCATCATCAGAGTGTTATGTGAAATCAAACATGCCAGAACATTTGAAACCATCACTTTACAAAGCTACAGGAGAATTATCCAACCATTTGTTGACTCTTCCGTAGCATATACACACGCGAATCTTAGTTTATTTTAAATGGCACTTCTGTTTACTATATTTGACAGCAACAGTTCTACTTGCTTCTTCAGTATGAGCATCATTAGTATTTAATCTCACAACACCAGAACTGCAGCACTAAAGCATGATTGCAAGGAAACATTTGAATTATTTTCATAGTGGTTAGCAAAATCATTCAAATAGTTGCTTCAACTAAGAAATTCCTTATTAGTTGTAAGACACTTTAAGTGATAGAAAAAATGTAATGCTGAACTACCATGAGGGCAAATGTGATTTGTTCTCATTTAACTTATGAAAAAATAACACTGAAAGGATCATCGAAGTCAGGAAGAAGCCAAGGTAAATTGTTTTGTTCTCAAAAATGTTGTCATGACTATAGTAAGCCATGGTACTATGCTGGCACAAGGTAGCCTTCATCATCTTCTCACTCTATAATAAGTCTCACAAAAATGTTATATGTGTAGTTATTAATTATCTTCATACAAGACATTTAGGTTAGATATGAGTGGGTAAAAGAGTGCATTTTCTTTAGTTACCTTGAAGAGCATCAGAGACCCAAAGAACATGTTCACTACGGACAAAAGAAGCAGGAGGGAAAGGCCGGACATCAGCGTGCCTGCAGAGCAAATATAAACCAATATTAATCTTCTTCCACTTTTCTTTTGATATCAGTAACACTGTTTATTTGGAAATAAGCATTTCGAATTTGGACCCAAAAAAAACAACAACTTTACCTCCAAGGAACAAGTAACTCCTACGTTTCGCATAGAGTGCGCTGAGAGTAAAGCAAATGAAAATCACAGAGGTTCCCAAGAAGGCCGTCACAACAATGCTGAAAGGAAACAAACCAGAACATACATTAAGTAATTCACACATCTGTTAAGAGCAGGATAATTTATTGTGTTTTCCACGTGCAGACTTGACCTTTTATTAAATTAGCCAATACAAGATATTTAGAACAGACTAATCTTTTGCCTACCTTGGATTTACAGCAATTACAAAATCCAGTGTAGGACCAAGGCCGACACCTAGAGAGTTATGAGAAAAATCAATAAATAAATATGCCCGATATTTGGCTTCCTAAAAATGTAAGGAAAACATGCTTTTAAAAATATGTTTATATCAATTTTCACCAGTGAGGAAGGCAAATCCAGCCAAGATAGCCAGTCTCTTCTTCTCAACCTCAGGGTTGTGTGGTGTCATAGCAAGCCAGACCATCATTCCCAAAGAGCCAAGAACAGACAGCAGGCCACCCTAAGGAAAGGAGCACATGGTAAGAGCAAAAAAACAGTTTTTAAACCAAGACGTTACAAACAAATAACAAAAATAAATTGTCTAATGAGTGACAATGGCATATTATCTGTCTTCTGACAACAGAACCTAAATTTACTATTGGACAGAGTCCAGAAGTCCAAAACTCTTTTTGTTTCTTTATTTTATCAGATTTTTGTGCAGACAATGTATCATTCGGCTGATCAATTAAGCTGTAATTACCAGAAGAAAAAAAAAAAAAAAAACTTGAATAACAGAAGCAAAATGTAAATGTACTGGTTTTTTTCACACTTCATGCACTCATGTTAAAAATGTTAAAGGTTTGCTATAAACTTTTCTGCTTCTTTAAATCTAAAATCACACAATAAGAAGGGGTATGCTAAAAAAAACATACATCTGAACAAATCAAAGTTAAGCTGCTAACATTTGCCAATGAAGCATGATTTACCTCTAACATCCTTATACAAAGCAATACATAATACGTTTCAACAAAGACATGCAATATGAAACCTGCATTTAGCTGGATAGGCACCATTTACTTTTAGATAAAAGATCAACATTTAAAGATAGATATCTGTTAGTATCACCTGGAAGAGGCGTGTCACCACATGAACGTAAGAGCCAGCAGCTGCCACAAACATGCAAACAGCTAAGCTGGAGTAGACATTTTTCAAGTGGACTTGGGTCGAGTGAGATCTGTAAAAAAGATAGCAATGAAACCATGAGAAATAGACACAAAAGTTAAAGCAGATGACCCATCAAATCAGCTGTATGCTTACATACATTTGGGAAAACCTGAAGAGAGCATCGATGTTGATGTTGCGGTCAAAGACATTCATGATGAAAATAAGAAATTCAGATCGGAAGGTATTTCTGATCCAACGATGACCCTTATGAACAGAAAAACAAATTAAAGAACAAATTAAAACTTTATAGCAACTGTATAAGAATGTTTACACTCTGTTCTTATTTGTTAGTGAGCCTATGCTTGTTTCCACAACAACAGGGCTACAGAATATAACACAATCTATTATATTAAACGTGACCTTTCTATTCAGAGAAAAGTATTTGTTACTGGTAGTTATATGCAGGTTATGTATGGGCATAAATAAGCAATACAGTTTTATTTGTTGCTCCATAACCATGAAAAATATTAACTGGATGCTACAACAAAAGTATTGCAAGAGAATCATGAACTCTGTCTTTGACAGGAGATGATGATATATTGTAAAAATGTATATTAACTTCTTTAACTTATATATATCAATATTAAATTAAGTTTATTCTCCTTTTAAGTGAAATGCTGACAATGCTCAAAAACAATCGCCCGAAGTCGTTTTCCAGTCAAATGTTTAAAGCAAATTTTCTCTTTTATACGATTTCTTATAACTTTCCAAACCATTTACATTTTCTTTTTTTTCATGCAACTTATTTATGAAGAAATGACACAGGTGTTACACAATGTTTTCACGATCACGCAATAGTACGTCACACGTAATCTCTCGATCTCTTCAAATTACATTATCTCAAATCACACATTAAAGTATCTAAATGTATAAGGTTTATATCAACAGCCCAGTTTTTAGAAAAGAACTAACATCACAACATGGGCCAGTCTTATAAATAAATAGTTATACTTTCACGAAGAGGCTTGTATTGTCTAGAGAATATTTTGAACTGAGAGTTTACATTTTCAAATCATTTCTCAAACAGAATCGCTGAATTAGCTAAATCAACCTTAAAGGCTTTCCCACCTTTAAACTTATTCAGACGCTTAAATCTAAATGACATTGGTTGACTAGCACTAAGCAAAGCAAGCTAACAAGCTATTTTGAAAACAGGCTAACGAGTTTTCCCAATGTAAAAACGTATATCTAGCAAGGAAATAAAAAGAAAAATCTCCTATTCATCAGATAAATACAATACTTGTCGAATGATTCAAATACAAAACAAAGAGATTAAATAAAAAAAGGCAAAAGAAAACAACAACTGTGTTGAGACACTTATGAGCAACTAATGTTGCTAACCAGTGAGTGTTAAATAATGGGCGGCTTGGCTAGCTATGTACTGCTTCCTTGTCAATAAATTCAATACATCTCGACAGTACAAAAGCCGTTAATGCTATAACCAATATTAACGGGACGACAGAAATACACCATACTTGCGTTTCAGCTCTGTTTTTTTCGGCTGCTCTCCTATTTCCCTGACACAGTTGTTACAATCCTGTACGTGTCAGTTAGCTCAAGGCAGTCTGCTGATGTCACCATGGAAACGCCCAGAAGTCTGTCGAGCGCAACATTTATAGAAATTCACGAGAATACCAGCTTTTAATAGTTTATCCTGGAATTAATTCCCAGTATGATTTAACACATTACCGTCATGGGCTCAAAACAAATACGCATTCAACTGTTCAAACAAACAACAGCTGCCTGCCGAAGAGTATCTATGTTTAGATGCACTCACTGGTGTGTCATCAGAATAAGGTCTCACTACACCTAAAATGGCCGCCCTCTTGTAATTTACTCATCCGTCAATACTGAAACTGCGTCTCGTTGTTCTTGTGTGGCTTCTAAGTGTATAAGTTGACTCCCATTAAAATGTTAAGAAACATATATAAAGCTGCCCTTACAGATATTGTCTCAATAAAATAAAAATACAGATTTTGAGGTCATTTTTGCTTTGGAAGAATCTCAAGCATTTAACCCTTAATTCCCCTTTTTCTTTAATCAAAGTCAAAACTCTGTAAATGCCCATGAAAAAATAGTAGCCTATATAAAACCAACATGTGTTTTTAAAACTATGGTTCCAGTGTATCCAGGGAAGAAAATGCAATGAAAACAATGTAAAATATAAAGAAGTTTTATTTATAAAATTGGCAGCTCCTTTTAAGACTTTCTCCGTCAAATCAGATACAAAAAGAAAGGCTTCTTATATGTTTTTTCCCCACACACAAACTGACATTAAACAAATACTTTTGCTCATTACAGCTGAGGCATTTTCATTGTCATATTTTACCAGTCAACATGCAGGTAATAGGATCATCAAACATAAAGATAATATAAAAGCCATACTACAAAGAAAATAACCCAAAAAAGGTACTGTACAGATTCTCAAATGACCGAAGTGGCACAACTGTTTCGGATCTGTGAATTGGTTAAACGGCACAAGTGTGTGAAGCACAAAGCAATCAAACAAAAATGTTTTCAGGCACTATTAAACACATGGATAGAATGAAAGCCTAATGCAGGCAAAATTAATTTCAATACAAAATACTGAGTATTAAGAATTAGTGAAAAATTAAAGGTTTTGGCTGATAAAAAAAACAAAACAGTTAAACATGCAAAAAATATTAAATTTAAGAAACAAATGACTCGTTGCTTACTTGTTGCACTACAAGTACCAAAGCCACTTTGAAGCTTTACACTCACTCATGACAGTGTTCTGTCATGCTCAGCATGACACATCTGAGTGTGTAGGTCTATAAATCTCAGTTCAGGCCGACCATTATTCTCGGTCCCAATTTCAAAGGCACAGTTTTTACTTTCAGCACCGTCAATGTAAAACAAATGCAAGTTGTTTGTCATATAAAAAGACATTGCAACAATTAAATATTTTTGGACCGAGACCTTTATAGCCATCTTATGTGCCAACATGTCCAGTGTTTCCATTTCAATTAACAATCTAAAAAATAATTGTCTCATTTACCTAGTTTTAAACCAATAAAACCAATCTACGCACAATTTATTTTGTAGAACTTGTCTCCCGAGTGCAAACAAGAAAAATTAGCTCTTTTGCTATTTAAATTCTAATTTAATGGTAAGTAAGGCCCAGTAGTGAGTTTTATTTAAAGCAAATAGACTGGCTACTTTAGAGGTACTATCCAATTCATAACAAAGTTGGGTTGCATAGACAAACCTTATTTAACATTTAAAAACAGTCTTCCTTATAAAAACAACCACATGTAGAAATATTTTTGTAATTTAAAAAAAGGAGCTAATGATTTTTTCCTTTCTTGTTGTTTTTGCCCCTAAAAGGAACAGTAATAAAACAAGCAATATCCAAAAGCCAAGTCAGGGCAGGCAGTTTTCTGCTTTGGCAAACAAACCACTTTAGCATTCATATTAAAGTTCATACTCGAGCAAGTTAGATGGGATTGCTTTGGATGTTGTTTTCTACTCTTTGTAATTATGCTTTCAATAAGTGGTTGTCCATATTGTTAATGAGGTAAAAAAGGAAAATGCCTCAGAGTTTTTAAAGTGTCAGTTTAACCAAGGAAATATAGTTTTAGGAATGTTCTTAACTGCATTGTTAGAAAACGTTATGGAACACAGAATGTTCCAGAGGTCATGACATCCCTATTTGGAAACTGTGTATCTATTCATTGCACACAGCACACATAGTGTATTTGAAAAAGTTAAGCAGAATCTCAAATTAATGTCCACGAAGCTGGTCCAGCAGAGTGTAAATGTTATCAGATTGACTGAGCTCTTCAAACACTGGAAGGAGGTTGAGTAGTTCAACATCATCCACATCATCAAACCATGACACCACAGGAACCTGAAGTGGGGGAAAAAATCATTTTCAGCATTTCTGGTCTGAACTATTACGGTACTACCATATTATGTGTGCCAAATATATTTCTCTTCAACAAGACACAAAAGAGTGAAACAAGACAGTTCTCAGGACTCCCTCATACCAATTTTAGGGTTTGCTGTTTTTTGTGTTCTTTTTACATTTTTCAAGGTGTAAAATAAAACTTAGAAAAAATCAATTGTCGCAAATTTGTTTCTGAGAACTTGTAACATAAAAATTTAATATCTTGTGCTGCTCCAGATGTAACAAAGAGTTGTGTTAGTTCGTCAACTAACTTTTTAAAACTACTAACAATATAAGTTGTTTTCATACCCTTATTTTTTTTTTTAATCAGTTTTGAGAAACTAACCTCAGATTACAAGACTATCTTGTCAGAGTTCATTTAGGTTTTAATTTCACAATCATTCAATTTTTCTTCATCTGGAAAATAAGATATTACCTCTTTTTGTTTAAAAAAAATACAAGTATAAAAGCAACATCTGCTTATGAAATGGTCTTTGTGTCTTTTCTAACATCAAGCATTCCTTTTCAACATGAAAGTTAACATAAAAAAATAGAAGAGGTGGGTTCAATCTCACAGCATTATCTGGATGGAAGATGTAGGAGGAAGGTGAATTATCCAAAATGAGGGTTTTTTGAAGGTCTCTGCCAAGGCGACTTAAATCTTTCACATAACAACCCTGATGGAACACACAAGATTCCCGAAATAACCGGGCCCGGAATATACCACACTGGTCCAACAGGTCAGTCACTGGGTCGGCATACTGATGGAGAATTGAAGAACAAATGTAGAAGAGAATCAACAATACTGCATATATCCCTAATGGCACATTACAATTTTTTTTTAACAAACTCATCCTTACTAAACTGCAATTTCTAATCCCAAATCCAAGTTGTTTTGTGCAGCATTCTTTATATTCAAAATGTTGCATGTGTATTCATGTTATATAATCAATTTTCACTAAATTTAAATTTTCGTTTCTTCTTTATTAGTAATGTTATTCTTACAGAAATAACAAGCAATGGCTTTGATTAAATATAGGGAGAGTGTCAACTAAGCTTATTAAGTAGTTGCCATCACAGTAGCACAACCACTAAGCGGGAGAGAACAAAATATAATTGGTAAAATAATCCTTGCCAATACTTTGTGAATAAATCATAAAGATCTTTTTCAGGAATCCTTTCTAGTACCTTTGAGAGACTGGCTGTAAACAGCACACATTCAAATAGTTCTCCCATTCTTTGCAGGAATTCATCCACATATGGCCTCTTCAGTACATACACCTGTGAAGCAGAAAAGGTGCCAGTAAACACATCAACTTGATTTACTATAAAAGCATCAAATTCTCTTTACTTTAGTATAACATTTAAAGTTCGGTTGATTATGGCCAGTTCCTGAAACAAGTAATCAAGAATAGGCCGTGCCAGTGTTAACCAGCCTATCCTGGATTACTTGAACCAGGCAAAAGCCTATGGAGTATTCCTGTCATATACATAGGGTTATTTCTAAGGCAATTACATTTCCAGATGTCCAACAGGTTCTTCACTAAAGAAAAAACACAATGATATGGTACATGAAGATTCAAGAGATGATTCAAGAACTTGTTCAAAAATGCCACATATTCTGCCAGTGATTATTGACATTTGAGTCAGAATAATTTTCTTGGTCGTGCATCTACTACCACGTGTGCATTCCTGTTCCAGATGTGGCCAGTAGAGGGCTCTACTCACTGATATTTGAAAACCTGTCTGATCAACAACAGGGCCCAGCAGCTCAGCAAAGACAGCAAGACCATCAACATGCATATGCAACCCATTCCTGTCCAATGCAAAAAATGCAAACACAACAGCTTACCTGGTGTGTGGTCCCCTCTATCTCCACTGGTACAATGAAGTCTGCATTACTTATAGGCTGGAGGAAGAAAATACAGGGAGAATGTTGGCATGCTCACTTACATGAGGCTGGGTGTATACGCTCAAATTGCATTACATAACAACAGAGATGCAAGAAGAAGACTCTCCACCACTGCCATGAATCATATTGAATAACCTATACAAAATAAAAATCATTCGAATTTCTCAAAAAGATTAGTAAAGAATCAAAGTTGAAACACACATTTTTAAGTATTGTTTTTCACTTAAGTTTCCATCTTGATTTTTTTAAAGAACATTAACAAGAGAACGCAAAGTGCAACCAACAGAACGGACCATTTAAGCAACATAAAGAAAGAATCTTAAAGTAAAACTTGGCGTTCGTACCTTGAATGAACTGTGCACCAGTGTCTCATCAAGGTCTATGACGACACATATCTTTCCCTGATCCTGGGCCATCACCTCTGGCAGGAGACTGACCTGAGATTCCTGAAGATACACAATAAACATTTTCTCAATGTAAATATAATGAAATAATACAACAAAGTAACTGTTTCACCTGAGCTATGTTAACAACTGAGGAACATGATCTCAAAAGTAAAGTAATCCACAGAAAAATCAAACTTGGGTGAATTGATTATATTAGGAATATGAGATTAAAGTAGTTTTAAGGGGCAACTCAAGCTGCAGGATGTTTTATTGTAACCGTGTCTGAATTGTACATATCAGGCATATTCATTTAGCTTATCACTTTTGTTAACGGGGAAACAATTTCAATAAGAAATTAATGACACAGTAATTTCTTTTGTTAAATTATTTTTATGTTTAACCTATTTAAAAACAGAGTGTAAATTGAATTAATTATTCATATATTGCAGACCAGGTATTGCTCATTCACGCAGGAAGCCGAATTAAGATGTAGAAAGTATTAAGCAAATAAACAATTAAATAATAGCAACAATATAGCCCCAATAATTTTAGTGTTGTATCTGCTTTCATGCCACTGGAAGTCTACAACATTATAAACTGGGCTTGTGAATGCAGGTTCCTGTGTTACTGATGCTAGAGGACATCTTCAACATGAACAAACAAAGCATCTCATTAAAATACTCTAACATGAAACTGAATACCAAATCAGCCTAACAGCATTCACCAGTGTGGACTGCATTAAGGCTTTTTTTTTCCCTACTCAGAAAATAAAAGACACGATACAGAATTATCAGCTTGTTTTATTTGTTTACCACCACACTGAGTAATGAACACTTGGTTAGCTCTCCATTCAGGGATCAAATGTGAATCTATAAGTAATTTCAAATTTATATCTAAAGTAAATTCTCAAAACACTAACAGCTGATGAACAGTTTTGGTTTTGGTGGGTGCTAGTGAAAAAATAAAACAAAAACATCTTGATGACAATTCACTTTTTTCTTTTCACAACGGTGTGATCTTTAATTTTATGGTAAGTAGTGTGTGTGGTTGTAATCAGAAAGTCAAACCCTAATTCTTAAACAAAGGCGGAACTGGGCTGATGACTTCAGATTGTTTGTCAGCCGTGCAAGAGTTACCTTGACAAATGTCCCATTTTCCTGGGTCTCTACCAAGGGCTGTTGGGAAGTAGGTGGTAGTGGTGTTGCTGGTTTGGTGGGACTTTGAGCTTGGATGCAACAGAAGAGGGCTTTGAAGATGTTACAACTTCGAGGCTGTTTCAGGGAAGAGCGGCTCACCTGGCCTGTTCAGTGTAGAAAAAGAAAAAAAATTCATGAGAAAACATGAAATGGAATTCTTATTCTTAACTGAAGCAATAAAACACATCCTACAACTCCTGTCTGCTTTCTTTTTCTTTTTCCACAAAACTGTGTCTTGACACAAAGAGATGATATATTACTAAAGATCTATGAAGGAAATTCAGTATATTTTTCTAGAGCTATACTTTTACCAGTCATCGTAAGTCCATCTACAGGGATGGCATAGCCAGCACATGAAATCTGTTTATGTGCCTGCCTTTAATGCTGCTGTTGCTGCTGAAAAGAGCTGGTACATGTTATATAATCACAAAGGGCAGGAAAATCAACACAGAGACAAAAAAATTCCAACCTTTAAAAAATCTTTTAAAGACTTTTCAGGGCTGCTAAATGCTAGCCTGAGCTGACGGGGAGCCAGTCAGTCAGGGAGTTGATGAACCAAATAAGCAAGTAACACCTCAGTGGTCTATTCAGGTCTTTGATCAGTCACTAAGCTGACTGGTGCCCCAGCTCCATGTAACACCTATGCCACAGTGAAACAGAAGGGGGGAAGTAATCTTGCAAGTCCCTGTCTCGTGCATTTTGTATGAAGTCATGCCAACACCACAGTATATAAACACAAAAACAACATTATTGTTCATATTATTATCATTATAGTTCATACACTATCACTCTCTGCAGTGCGCTGAACAAATGCATAATCAATGGGTGATACACTATTTTTTTCTTTTAACTCACAGCATCCAAGCCGATCTTAAGTGCTACAAGTCATAATGTCTTCATGACAACAACCCTGTTCCACAACTCCATGTTTAAGCCACAAAGGACATTGAATCTGGACATGCCAATTCTACGGACAATTCACTATCACTTAAGAATATTTAAAGAAGACATTACAAACACAATGCAAGCCAAAGTATTTATGTAATACATAAATAAAGCACTATTGTAGGCCACAGTAAAAGTGCCTGCATATAAAATGTTGACACATGAACAGATATCTCCCAGTAGTGGCAACCAGATTAAACCACAATGCAGATAAATCACCTTAAACCCACCCCACAAAACTCAATGCACATAACAAATATGGTGATACTGTATACATTTGAGTTTTTTTTTTATTGTTAAAACATACACACCTGTCTTAGATTATGCACGATTTTAACATCGACAAGGTCGACCGAGACAGCAAAGAATCGTTCAAAATGGAGAAAAGTGTGCAAACAACGAAATCTTTTAAACGGTGCTACAATGGGCGTGTGCAGAGGGGGTGTGTTTGTGCATTCCGCTGTCAATAGCGTGGCACCTGGTAGTTCTATACACCCCCACTGTAAATACAACAATCACTTTATACCCTTTTAGACATTTCTGGGTAATAGCAAGTCTAATAATACCAACATGAAATCTCTCAATGTGTGTGTGTTTATTTTAAAATGAACGTGATAGCAACGCAGCAGTCCTGCTTTTGACACACTGATTTATGACCACCATCTTCCAAAACGTAAAAAAACACACGTACGTACACCCGCAAATCGTTTTTAAAAATTGTGGTTTTAGTGTACAGTATGACGGTGCTGTGTATGGCGACTTCTCGCTTTTCTAGAAGCATGGCTATTATACTGATATGCAGGGCATTTTTTGACTGGCCTAGACCTGCAGCACTGCGATCAAGAAAAAAAACAACTCAACATTGACCATTCAAAAGCACATCTAAGCAACGCAGGTTTGCGTAGTGCTGCAAAAACGCACAAACCGGATCAACAATGGTTAAGCTCTGGCAATCCCACATCGTAATGGAGACTTCGAAATTACACCACAGTAGGAACCTTTTATCTATGAAAAAGCAGAAGATGCGACACGATTTGCGTATTGTATTATATTGTAAAGCTAGTGTTTTTAATGTTGTCAGTTATATATGAGCCTTTTATATTTATAGGCAGATCACTGTAGGAAAAATAAATAACTTTAGAGCTTTTTGGCTCAATTTTGGCAGCAAATGACCAAATTAAGATGTTTTTAGATCAATCGCGCGGCGACCTATAAGCATTGAGTCTCAAAATTACAGATGTGCTTCGTTAATGCTAAAACAAGGAAAAGCGCTCCTAATTCGCGCTCAACTGGAGTCCGCAACCTTCATCTGTCAAGTATACGGACGCACTAAAGGATCTCTATCAACATTCTACTTGTTATTCGCAGAAAAGAAATGATACAAATGCACAGAACGAGAGTTGACATGATTACCTGTTTTTGGCAACGCTTGAACGCCTTCTTTCTGCACTTGTGTGATAATAGAACTTTCCATCTGACAATCACAGAACCCTCAAAATCCTCAAATCCTGTCCTCGAGCACAGATGGGCATCCCTCATTGGGTTATATAAATATATGTATTTGTCAAGTTGAGCAGTATGCCAAGTATTCACAAATGTTTGTTGTCACCAGCCTCAGTTACAATCCTCGATGAGATAAGATTTATCCTTTTCCTGGGTTTTACTCTCCCACCTCTTCTTCGCTTCTTGTTCTACCGTCCGAGGTCTGCTGCCCGAAGAGGGGGCAAGGCACTTGGATGTGTTTTTGGAGGTTATATGACACTGTGTGCCCTCCGTCTTCTTGGGTGTGCTGCTACTATAACTGGTGGATCGCTGAGCAGCTTTCCTCCCGCGTCGCGGTGAAGTCCTCACTTTTGCACCAACAACATGGAGAATCCAGGCGAGAGAAGGAAAACAACTGAGGAAATGGGGCAAGGGAGGGCGGTTTCAAGCCCCCCTCCCCTTTACTACAGATAAACAACATCGGGCGAAAGGCCATAAAGAGCCACGAAAAACTCTGGCTATTGATCAAGACATATACAAACTGACCTATACAAACAGAATCCAGATAACAGTTACTTGTAAATGTGACTTTTGTTTTTATCAAAGGTTTTGTTTTTCTACCGATTGGACTTAATGGGTGCCTTAAAACTGTCTCTACTTTCTGATTGGGTGCAATTGAGGTGGGGGCGTGGTTAAAACATTCCTCCCCATTCTGCACGCGCCGGACTAAACACATTCCAGCGCTTTTTGTCCAAATGAGATCACATTGTTTACAAATTATTATTTTTGTTATTATTTTAGAATAAATCATTGCATCAGTCTTAGAATAAGAACAGTAGTAAAAAGCTTAATTTGTTTTTTTGCTTTATTAAATCAGATGCTTGTATGTCATTTATATCTGTTAGAAAAGTATGTGTTCTGTACTGTATTTATTTTTACAGTCCAGAATAACACTTGCAGTTGTCACAATAAATTGCAAATAGCACTTTACAACATCAGTTCCATGGTTATTTTTTGGTTTGTCTTTTACTTTACATCGATAAAGTTATAACCTATATTTATCAGGCAAACGAAACATATAACAGTTTAAATCAAACAAAGCGCACCTCTGAATAACTTACCAATTCCTATCTATTGTACAAACATTAATATAGTAATATCGTTTTTCAATTATTTACTGTGCAATTTTGGTCCTTAAAAGTGTAAAAATAATTTTAAAAATAAAGCAAGGAGAAGTTTATTTTTAGGTTCTTCGTGTATCTGCTCAAACTCTACGGTCTATAATAAACATGGTGTGCATTGGGTTTTGTTGGTGGATGTTTCTCCATGGAAAATTACATATATAGAGATATTAAAAAGAAGAGGCAAACTGGTGACCAAGGTTACCTTAATTTTCTCTTTCATCCTCCTGCTCTTTATTGGCAGAAGTCAAATTAAACTTTTTATGCATACTTGACGATGTAGGGTGGGGCTAATACAGCAAAATGTCTATTACAAATCCTTAGAGAAACTATTCTCAGCAGTTACTGAACTATAAGAGTGCTGGTTATATAAGCTCACTCCCTGTTCACACCAAAACCACCAGGCACTTAAACAGTTTTTTCCCCCAGGCCACCACCCTCTTGAGTAAGGCCTTCCACCCCCCCCACCCCTGGCACATCTACAGACACTTAAAGAACACCTAATTATAATATTAATTCCTGCCATCCTCTATATACTTCAGGTCAACTAACTGCCATTTCAGTTTGTGCATATCACTGCTCAGTTGTACATATTGTACTTACTTATTATTATATTTTACATTTTTGTCATCAATTAATCTACTTTGTTATTTTAATTGTTCTGTGATACCAGATTCAATTTGTGTGTGATTGAGATAAACATCATACAATTTTTTTCATCATACATAGATTTAAAAAAAAGGTTAGTCATTGGATTTTAAGACATTCCTAACAGCACAAGGGTTCTAGAAGATAATTTGTGCCTAAATTCAGACACATGCAAAGTTTGAAGAGCACAATTCAAACACCATGCAGTCTAACCAGAAGATTGCTTAAAGGACAAAAAGACATTTAAATATCATTGTTGTTTATGTTGCACTGTTGAGTTGGTACATTTTGAACACTTCTAGGCTCATAACACATTCAGCTAAGCCAGTGTCAACAGTGCCCACACTGCAAAAACAGCCCTACTACTTACATTCCTGGTTTTGGTCATTTTGAGGCAGAAGAAAAATATGTGTGAAAAGATAGAAACAAAATAAGTAGCTAAGATATGTATTTTAAAGCTAATGCCACTGTTTACTTAATCAACTTGAAATTAATTATCTTTCTTATTGCATTCCTGTGAGAAAACAAACGGACAGATACACAGAACGCTGTGGTAAGTTGCTATGAAAGAGTGTACAAACAGTGTTCAGTGGTGCTATATTTAACCCCTTGAAAATCTGTCCCAATCAATTGAATACAAACATGTTTTTATATCCACTTTTTACAGTGGACAAAACACATTCACTTATTGACACATTCACTTAGTTATATTTCTAAAAAAATCTTGAATATTTATGTTAAAAAAAACATGTATGCAGTTTAAATGTATGTGTAGTATATTTTGCATGAAAACATCAAGAGCTGAGAGAATCTTTGGTTGACAAATTTACAAAACAACCATTTGAAATACACTTTTTTTATTCAAACAGAATATTTTGAGTTTTATGAAATATGAAGTTGAAAACACAAAATGTTTACTTTTAATGACATAATCATGATGACTCCACAAGTTACAAGAAAAAAGTTGCATTAGCTTACGTGCCAATAATAGAAATTTTGTTCAACTACTACGTTTAACTCTTTGGAGTCCACCCAATCTACTTACAGCCTAATGCACTCGGCCATACAAGATCCAATCGTGCTGATGACAGTCTCACTGCTAAAATATGCTTACAACATCTTTGCCTCATGTATGGTTCAGACTGTAGGGTCTATATCATGTGATTTGCTGGAAGAGGCACCCCCACCTCCCCTCCTCTCCCACCTTACAAGTCTGCCCCTTGATGGCCTCTGCTAGGCTGTATTTCCAGGAAAGGGGGCCTACTGGACAGGCTGCTGGGCCTAGGCATAGAGACATTGGCTCATTGAGAAAAACAAAAACAGAGAGGGGCGGTGGGAATATTCTCCAGTCTTACATAACTCAACCACCATGGCAGTGAGTGAGAGAAAAAAAAAGTTGTTTGCCACAATGCAAAGGAAAATCTGTCACTCTGGCTGTCCATAGCTTTTTAAAGTTGAAAGACTTCTACATTGGAATTTGGGAAAGACTAAAACCAGCACTGTTGCTTGCAGTTACACAAGAGTTGCAATTCCTACACTACAGTAATGGCTGTAGCATACTAGCATAATATGTATGTACACACACACACACACACACACATATATATATATATATTTTTTTTTCTTGCACATGCCACCTTGTGGTCAAATCTAAAACTGCAGCCTCACAGATTGGTTTACCGCGCGTTTTTCAGAACACAAGATGTCGTAACATTTTTCTGTTATCCTCTATGTTTTATTGATTTGGAATTAAATGCACCTCTCCATGTTTGCTTTGCATGGTAGTTCAGTTAAAATTTTCTGTTCTGTTTACTATAGGCAGACTATCTTTTGAGCAAGATACGAGTCATCATTTTGGGTCCTAACGTGAAAGGAATGACACTATTTACTTTACTTATGTAAATGCCACCTCGACATGCACAGTAATCATTCTCGGGTCATCCTAATTTCTTTAAATATTTCAAGAAGAAACAGAAGTAGACGCAAAGATTGATATAAAAAAATCCACCGACAACAATGGAACTACAGGCATAAGACAAAAACCCTGTTTGTGCATTTCTAATAAGCTTGGAAGTCCTGTATGACCACCATTAAAGTTCTACAAAACCTGATCTCTCTTAGATAAACTGTACAGAAAAATTCTGGAATCCCCATATTGAAGGACATCTTGAAAAGTAGGAAGAAATGCTGCTTGTGAATTGTAATATAGATACCATAAATAATTGTAAATGTTTGCAAAAATATCAACATTTATAATAAATGTAATTTTTTTCCTTCACAATTTAATAATTTACATACATTGTGAACTGTAACGAATATGTAAACTCTCAAGTGTACTAAAATTGTTAGTATCCTGTATTTTGTGTGGGTCCTCTTCCGTGGAGAGCTGGGCAGGTTGGCACACCTGCTGATTTCCCAGTCAGTTGGTCAGAAATATAAAGAGCAGAGGATCGGTCATTCGTTGCTTGATGGTCCCCCATAGTTGGTGTGCTCAAGCCTCATGGTATGTCATGATCAAGTCTCCACAGTTTTTGTCCGTGTAAGGATTTTGGTCGGGACTCATGTTTGTTTGATTCTTTCTCAGATCTCGTTGTACTTCTCTGGATCTCAGAAGGCCAAGGTCTGGACGATAGGTTCCAGAGCTCCCAAGATAGCTTGAAACCAAGCCCCTTGATCTTGCTGCGTGCCCGTTCTTTTCCTTCACCTGAATAATTCCCCATGACGCACCAAGGTCCTAACTGCCCTCTATGAACAATTCTCTCCTCAATAAAAACCTGTTTACCCATCACCTACCTGTGTTCCTGAGAATATTCATATTACACCTGTAAATAAACCCCAAACCAACCTTTAATCTGTGTCCTTGTGTCCAGTATCTGCATGTGGTTCAGAAAGGTACTCAAAACATGCCAAACTGCTTCAATAACAAGACTTCATTCAGCACCCTGTTGTGTTTTTCTATGGTCAATGCAGGTGTCAGGAATTTTTGCAACACATCAGATGTTTCATGTAATTTCCCTATTTCTTTATATATTTTAATATCCAATTAATTAATGTCCATTAGACTTTTTAAAAAAACACATTGCACGTCATGCTGAGAAATGCCAACGTATCATCTTATGTCTCTGGAAATATGTATTCTTTGTCTGTTACACCATTGATTTGTCTGTGTAACAATGTTTGTCTTGGGATAAACTACTACAAAGAAGTCTGAAGGCGATTAATAAACTTGTGTCAAGTAGCTTAAAAAAGAATTCCTCTTAATAGGGTCAGGACTTGATATATAATAAGTTAAGAAAAAACATACAACATTTAAAGATAAACCTAAATTTTATTAGGAAGCCTGAAGAACTATCGCTGAAAAGGGCTTTATACTATTAAAGGAAAGACTTGCTCTTGAGAAATTAAATTCAGGGATAGAGATGAATTGAGTGGTCATACATTTTGCTCAGTACTCAAACAGAAGGAATGCAACATAAGGATAACATACCTTTCAACCCTTTAGAAAATGCTCAAAAATAAGTCAAGGGGCACAAAAATGTAAATTCAAAGAATCCAAAATCACGAGGGACTCCACAGATTGACCATCCGCCAGATGTGCAACAACAAGCAATTTTCACAGAGTCCCATATAATACAGAGCTATCAGCCAGTATGGAAGGTGACAGTACCATATCAGCTGAATGGTTTTAGTGTTGCGACTGATCAGTGTATGTACATGTATACCTGTCAGCTTGTACAACACATCACCAACAGTCATATGTGAAATTCTAGAAAAGTTATCTTAACAACTATTCATCTATAGGCTGTACCATTTATTGCTAGTAAAGAATTTAAATTGCATCTGAATAAAAAAA